ATTTCTACCTTCTCCTCTCTGTCAACGCTCTCTGGTTTCATTTAAAAGAGTCGATCATCAGATATTGTCCAAGATTAACCTTCAGGGCGGATATAGCTCACTAGCAGCCTTGCAGTGATGACCTATCCATGTCATCATTTACCCAGAATGCTTTGTGTGTAAATAAAATGGCTCCATCCGTGTTAAAATATATTTAAAAAATTTACAAAACTAAACACACTACAGTATTTTTACAGTCTTTATTTTACAGTTAAAATAAATGTTTATCAAATAAAGTTTAATTTTACAGTTAATCGTGGATCCCTTTAAAAGCTTGATTTCAACTACTTTTCCTCCTTATATATTTGATTTAATATCATCAATAGGCACGTCAGGTGATATACCTGAAAAAACACCGCTCACACACTTTTTGTTTTCTTGCATTTTTCCCTTTAAAATCTCACCCATAACTTTGTTAAGTTTCAGTGCCTTTTCTTTCTTTTTAGCATCATTACAAATGATCGATAAAGATCCATCTCTTATGACTTTAATGTATTTCACTTTTCCAACAAGTGTGTTGATTTCTTTAGTAAGTTTAATCGGGTTCCACTTACCAAACGACACACCCTCTTTAACCAATTTCAAAACTACTTTACACTCCATCATTGCATCTGCATGTTCATCAGCTTCAGAGACAAGATGATTCTGTTAGCGGTCTTGTTTTGTTTTCCGTTTATGCTTAACTTTTTGAGTTTCCCACACTCCTTCATTTTCCCCACCTTCACAACCCACATCCATTTCTCCAAGCTCACTTCCTGACACATCATTTCCCTCTGACATCTTTCCATCCATTCACCTTACCGCCGCCTCAGACCTCAAACTTCTCGAGCCTTCAGCCACCGACAAGCACGAATGACAGGACTCAGAATATAAAGCAAACTAATCAAGAGTCAACGAGGAACACCTGGGGAGACAGGAGAGGAATCAGGTGTGTGCAGGCGGGGCTGGAGGTAAAACAGCAGGGAGAGGAAAACACAGGGGAATCACACTCCTTACCAGTAAGTGGCGGTAATGCTACCAACAGTTTGTTGCCAACAGCCATAAATCCAAGAAGAAGAAGAAGAAGAACACAGAGGAACAGAAAAACACTAAGAAAATAAAGACAAAAACACAGATCATGACAGGTGCAACTTCAAACATTATTCCATCTTCCACCTAACGACCAAACCCAGGAGACTACTGTCTGAGCAGGAGCATAAAGGATTTGGCCTGTTGGGATGGTGGACACTGAGGAAGGAGTGGGGAGGGGAACAAAAGAAGGGATATTTTCTGTTTAAAATGACAAACTGAATAAAAACATAATGAGAAAAAGAAACTTAAAATCTTTGACAACAGAGAAATAAATAACATTGAGTTGTTACGTCCCCAACTCACCAACCCTGAGGTTTTATTTAAAAATAGCTTGTTTTTTCCTTTAAAGCAAAGCTTGCCAGACTGAGACCAGTTCACACAGTTTACCGTCAAACTGACTTAGTGTGGAATGTACAGTTCTTTTCTCCTCTCAGGCATGTTTCACGTCGAGTGTGTTTTGACCTGATGAGAACAATGAATCCATTGATGGGTAAAGAGATAAAAGTGTGTACTCTGGTTATGGTTTTACATGCTGGGAATTCTTTGAAAAGAACTATGTTTATTTTAGTGTGATGTTCTCTGATGGTCTAAAGTTCACAACCAATAAATACTGTTTTCAGCATGGTCCAAACTGAATTCTTTGAATTTTTTTATTCTGTGATCCAGTGACGGAGAAATTTCCAAGTATTTTACAGTTTTACTTTACAAAGTATGGCTAATTTTTAGAGGAGAAAGTCTAAACTTTAGCCAGTGATGACCAAAACAAATACTAAATTCTTGACAAATGAAGCTGATGTGCAAATTCAAACTAGAAGAGTCTCCCTCCACCGCACCTGCTCCATCCAATCACTGCGTCACGCTCCCAGCTGCAGTCAGTCAGCATCAGATCCTCGCCTCTGTACCAATCAACTCACAGGGATCCAGGTCTGAAGGCCCAGCTTCGAAGGATCGGTCCGCTCCTCAGACGTGTTCAACCCACCTCCAGCCCTTCTCCACCTTCATCTCAGACTCTGCCTGGCTATGACTTCCCCCTGGCCTCCACACCACCACCAGTGTCCGAGCCCCGGGGGGCGGGGGGGGGGGGGGGGGGGGGGG